TTTGAAAAGCGTGTTTGGGTAACAATCTGTTTAGGAATTGTCTTATTAACTATTTTGGACGCAATTGCAAACTTTACTAACTCCAAGAAATACGACTTTGGAAAATCATTTTGCAAAGTTATATGCGTTTTTATTGGATATGGAAATTATTCATTAAAGGAACCAACTAAAATGCAAAATATATTAATTTTCATTTTGTACTCTCTTTTAGGATTCATTCTTACAAATATTTATTTAGCTTTATTATCGAGTTTCTTAGTAAGTCAACTATTTGAAAAACAAATTGATTCATTTGACGATATTGAAAAAGCACATTTAAAAATTATGACAATTAACTCGGAAGCTCCAATTATTAAACTTGATCCTTTATTTTATCCGCGATACAAAGATTTATTACATTTAGTTGATGTAGATACATTTTATAATGCACGAAGTAATTTAAATGTTAATTACTGTTATACAGCTCCAAATGACAAGTCTTTTTTTTATTTGGCACAACAGGATCATTTAAAGTTTAAACGTATGCGAGAAGCTTTACAAGCCAATATATCAGCTTTAATTCTTGCTTATCCGATGCATGTAAATTCACCATATATAGAAGAATTTAATGATTATCTTTTTCGTATATATGAAAGTGGTATATTCAATAAATGGTTGTATTTGGATAGCTTAGAAGAGGGAAAAGAAATTGGTTTATTTAAATACGTTGAAGACGAGAACGATCAAAAACTACCTATATTGGAATTTGATCATTTGTTGTTTCCTATCTTTATAATAACTTCAGGATATGTAGCAGGATTTATTGCGCTTTATATTGAAAGATTTAAAACTGTTTTCGAAAGGATTATTTGAAACGTAAAAAACAGCATAAGAAGACTCTGGCGACAACAAGGATTGATTTTACTCATATTCCGTGTGCCACCTCATGAACTCACAATAGTAAAATCAACTACTTCAAGAATATTCTATGAATTTTCAAGTTAAATTCACATAAAATTAGCTTAAATTTAAAATGAAATGCAGTACCCAAGTAAAATTTGTATGTAATTAATGGAAAACTTATAAAGCATCCAATTTTGGAAATGAGTATTTTAATTACTAATTTCTGATATAATAAATTAAAATAAAAAAATATTTGTTTAATGAAATAAAAAATCTATATATGTAATATATTATATATGTATGTTAAATGTCAATAAAAGAAAGTGCTCATTTAAATTACCAGTGAATTGTTAAAATTACACAAAGCGTGTGGAGCTGGTCTAAAACGATTATAAGTTGGAAGAAAGTAAGTGATTATTATAAATTCATATAATGTAATGTTCGAATTTTAAGAATTTTTTTCGTATTGCGTATTTAATTTTTTTTTTAAATGTGTACAAATTTTAATCGCCACCCTTTCACTTTGCTGCTTAAGATTATAAATACTTGTGTCAACATGCACTAATTCTGCATCCTCAATAACATTCTGTTATTCAGCAAGTATAGTAGTCGATTAATTTAAGTTTCAAACGTATGTTCCAAAGGTATATTAAATTTGACTTACAGTTTGTAACACTAAGAATTAATGGACTGAGATATAGACTCAAGTGTATGTTTTTGATCAGCGTCGAATTCTAAGTTGATTTAGCTTTGTCTGTCCGTCCTTCCGTCCCAGCGATAACTTAAAAACTAATTGAACTAAGTTTACCAAATGCTGACAAATGATTCATTGTAGTAAGCGTCAGAACCCTATTTAAATTGGACATGATAGGGGTACTGGTTCGGGAGCTGCCATACAACTTCAAAAGTTATTTGGCTATATCTCAGAAACTGTAAAAGCTGTGATATTGAAATTTCCCACAAGTAAATATATAAGTAGGGCTGTTATGTGTGATGAAAATCATTGAAATTTCTTAACTCATTGATGTAGCAGCCACACAACTTCAATACTAGTTTGGCCATATCTTAGAAAATATTGAAAACACAGTACTGAAATTTTACATAAATTAATATCGTAATAAGGCAACTTAAAGTCATAGTCTGTTCCATAGTTAGCCATGGCATATTTATTCGTAGGATAACAATTTCGTCGGGTATCACAGAATTGACGCGGTCAACTCTATTTTTACTCGTTTTATTCTTTTATTATCAACATATATATACAGGGTGATTCAGAAAGTTATCCAATCGCATATACCATTGGTTAGAATATCGAAAATGGGTAAAAGTTTTGTTCCGGATTGGGTACCAAATCTTAAAGGTTTTAGAGTTCCAGGGATTTTAACCAATTTTTACAAAATTTTTACTTATCCAGGTTTTTTGATTATAACTTCGGTCCTGAAAAAGATAAGAACTTCAAACAAACAGTTTCTGAAAGGCCTAGTAAAGGGCTTAAAATAAACATGCTGCTTAATCTTATTTTATGCACCTTCGAAATACCAAGCATTCAAACTTTGGGAAAAATCAAATTTTTTCTTTGTTTTATTTCCTCACTAGATAATTTCGTAAAAAATTTTTTAAAACTTTAAACTTTTTTTTATAGAATTTTTCCCAGCTGCTTAAAATTTAATTTTTAATTAAGCTCTCAAACATCGAAAAAATTTTAATGGTACAGAAGATATAAATAGTATAAAAACCACAAATATTGTGAACCACAAATTCAATTAAAATCAAACCAGATGTTGATAAAACCAAAATTAAATTTTATTTAATATTCCTTTATCAAAAAATTTGGAGCAATATGAATTCCTTATCCAAAAAATTTACAAATTTCTCAATTCACCAAATTCTGAAAAAATTTATGGTTTTTGTTCTTTCAAATCTATTTCTATTCAATCACGTGTTTTAAATTAATTGCTTTACTGGAACACCTCTTTAGTTGCATCAACCGTACACCAATTTTAACTTTTGTAGAAATAGGTTTAAAGTTTATTAATCCCATTAAATTATTTACTAATTATTTATTATCTTTATAATGTTCAAATACCACAAACTCCATTTTGTCAAAAAATTAAATTTTCTTATTAAAAGAAATTTCTATTAAAATAAATGTCGAAATTTATATGGCATGCCTTCAAAAATTAGCTTCAGCTGGATAATTTTAATAATTTCAGATGCCAAATGGTGTCTAGATTTCGAAAATATTTTTTTCAAATTTTTTAAAATCAATTTTTGTTTTTCAACTTAAAAGTTTGTATAAAATTTCATTTCAATTTTATTATTATTTGTTACATTTCAATATGTCAAAAAATATGTCAACTGTTTTTTTGAGTGAGTCTTATCATCAAAAATTAATGATAGTTGATAATTACAACGCTTAAAATCTTTGCCTTTAAGGCCTTTAAAATCTTAGTATAGAAATGGTTTTTGTCCTACATCTTTTGTACCATAAAAATTTTGTTCATGTTTGAGGACTTGAATTAAAGCTTAAACAGCTGGGCAAAATTCTATAAAAAAAAATTCAAGGTTTCAAAATATTTCTTACGAAATTATCCAACTAGAAAAAACTGAAAAAAACAAGGGAAAAATTTGATTTTCTCCAAAGTTCGAATGCTTAGTATTCCGAAGGTACATAAAATACAGAATCAAGCAGCATGTCTATTTTAAGTCCTTTACTAGGCCTTTCTGAAGCTGTTTGTTTGAAGTTCCTATCTTTTTCAAAATGGAAGTTATAATACAAAAAACTTGGATAAGTAAAAATTTCGTGAAAATTCGTTAAAATTTTTAGAATTCGGAAACCCTTGAGATTTCGCATCCAGTCCGGAAGAAAAGTTTTACCCATTTTCGTTTTTCTAACCAATGGTATATGTTGTTGTATAACTTTCTGAATCCCCTGTATACAAACTATCTACAAAATTAAATAAATTTAATAAGATAATTTAATTCAAGATTGCTGAAAGTATACACATTGACACAATCATTTTTTATTTTAATTAGCAAATAGCTCAACTTTCACAATGAAACTTAAATAAATATTTCTTAGATACATATATATATATTTAACTGTTATTATTTTAATTACCTTTGAAGTAAGAGATGCAAAGTTTTTTGTTATGTTTCTTTATATATACATTCATTTTACTGGCATTCAGAATTAAATAAATCCATATAATCACCAGCAATACAGCCTTTACCAGTACGTCCAAAATATTCACACTTACCCGGTATTTTTTTAATTATTTCGATAGTGCAAAAATTTCCCAATTTATTTTTTCCAGAATTCCCAGGAATTTTATATTTAAAATGATTTGCATTTAATATTTTTGGAATAGAATGTTTTAAATTTTCATCAGTATCCTCCTGTAGTGATGTTGATGTAAAGGATGGTGTTGCTGAATGAAATATAGCGCTTAAAAGTGGTGGTATTCCATCATCAACTGCTAAAGTAGTCTTTTTATTATTATTAATATTGTTATTGTTATGATGATTATTATTCATATTAGAATTTTCATTGGAATTTATGTCATTAGATGCTGATGATGCAATCATATCACCAGCATTATTTATGTTATTGTTTTCATTAGATTGTAATACGTTATTATCCGTTTCACTTTGATGTAAAATTGATTCAAATGGAAATTCTAGCATATTTGCATTACTGATTTCTATTGTTAATGCAAGTAAAAATATTGTAAGTGAAATTGTAAAAGAAATCCAAGGTAGTGTTGTTATTGGTTTAAAAATGATTGATATTTTTGTTACTGATGATAATTCATTACGTTTTGAATTAGTTACTGTTTTTCCCATTCTATGTATCTATATATAGATTTTTTTATGAATTTTTTTGTATAAATATGCAGTTTAATAAAATAGTCTTATATGTCTATTTAGTGAGAGTTGTATGTTTCCAATTTATTATTTTTCAACGAAATTATTAAAATTTTATTGTAATTTCGTGATGAGAATTTTATGTAATTTATTATTTCTCAATGATATTTTAATCTGTTTCCTGATAATTTCGTTTGCGAAAAAAATGGATCACAATTTTATTAAATCGGAAAAAGAGAGTCGTATCATCAATGATTCTTCGAACAATAAGTATTTCCTGTAAGGATTCAAGTCCTTTTATACTTTTAGATAAAGGAAAAGACATGAATCCGGAATTGTACGTTTTCATTTTTGCGTTTTCCAGTTTTAATATTTTTTTTCTACGTTTTCCCTTCTGAATTTTGCAGACTTGGAAAGTAAAAACAAAAATTTCCATCCTTCTAGCACTTTTCAAGAAGAAAAAATATTAAAAAAGTGCTTATTAGTTTTACTCTGTGCGTCCCTTCGTCCGTATATCCTTGTATCTGTTTACAAGACTCCCTTTATAATAGGCAACTGAAATATAAATAGATCCTTATACCCTCAAAATCCTTAAAATGTTTGACTATCTATCGTGACGAAACCACAAACATTTTTTAAATTCTGCAAACCCAGTCAAATTGTGGTGAACTTTTTCTATCGCGGCACAGCTTTGTTGACCTTTAAAAGAAAAAAAATGGCCTTTAAAATGAACCAGTATCCAAAATCATTTTTTTTTTTTACTTTTTACCACGATAAGGTTTAGGAGTCCGAAACTTTAATGAGTTTTAAATACTAGAACTACAGTTCAATTACTAGGAATTTTTTTTAACTCAATTCAAATTTGTAAAATTTGAATTTCCAGTACCTTATATTTTCGAAACTGCAAGCTTTCCCTAATTTTTATAAATGCAGAACGTTAACGGTAAATATTGTGTCGTAAAAAATTATTTTTCTTAACCCAATTATTTAGCCGTCCAATTCAACCATTATGTTAACGATTCTTTTGCCTTTTTTTTGTCTTATCATAAACGAATATAATAGCTTAATACATATATATTTTGATATATCAATAAAACTAATTGAAATAAACTAGTTTCGTCGTCGACGAAATGCGGTCCATGGACAGCATGTGGCCCATTCAACTTCAAAATGCAACCCATAATTTTGCTTGAAAGAAAAAAATATTCGATTACGACTATTAAAATTTGAAATTTTTTTTTAAAACAAAATTTTAAGAACTCAATCATAAATAATATACGTTAGCTATACGTACATAAAACTCTATACAAATTTATTATTTATCAAAAACAAAACAATTAATAAGGTCAGTTGAAAATGTCATTTCTTCTAGTAGGAAATCCGAACGGCATATACTCATACTCACATAGTAAAAATTTTGCCTATAGCCCACAAAAGTTTGTCGGCGGTTGGTCTAGTAAATTGCTTTTAAAAGCAGTATTTTCACTTTTTCACGGAAAAGTGCTCCTTTACAAACCATGGGTTTGTTCCAACTTTATTTACAATTCTTTATTTCCTATTTCCTAGCTTTTATTATGAGAAATCATATGTATATACATACATATACATATAAAATTTCAAAACAAAATTAAGAGAATGCAAAACACAATACGTATATAGGATGCTTCATTCTATTCCAAAGATTGTAGGAACATACATGTCGAAAATTCATTCAAGCAACAGAACAATTCGCATTCAAAAATTGAGTTAACTTAATTTTAAAACAGTAAAAAAGTCGTAATATATTTTAAGGTTAAGTATAATAGGAAATTTTAAAATAATCTAAATAAAATTTAACTAAATTGATTTCAGTCAATTATATTTGTATTTAGAATTTTAAGAACTTAAAACTTAACTCATTAATCAAATCATGAAATTTTATATGTGAGTTTGTTTTGACTATGTCACGATTGATCAACTCTTGGGATATATCAGGAATTGGGAACTGGACTTTAATGCGTGCCATTTTTAGATTTTTCCCCATATAAAGAGAAATATTCAACCGATTTCATTGAAATTTAATATTTAAATTTGTTGTGTTAAAATAATGAACATATAAATTTTTGGGAACGATCAGGGCTCGAAAACCAAACTAGGGGCCGAATTTACGTTTTTTATCATATCTATGTAACTAATTAATGGAATTTCTTGAAATTTTCTATTTGAGTTCTGGTTGTTACCGAAACTAATTAGCGAGCATTTCAGAGAATTCGAATGACACAAAGCGGAATTCTACTACGAGCATCTCTATAAGAAGTATTGAAAAGGCATTTTTAAAATATTCTGTAATCCTTTCAACTAACTAGATAATTGACATTGCGTTTGGTTTTCATAATAATAATACAATGGCTTCGCTCATACTGGTGACGGTTTTAGTAACTGATTGCCTCAACTTTTGCTATTTGTGAGCTAATTAAGCAATAATTCACAAATCGTCTGGATATAAAAATTGCGAATTATAAAACTCGATTCTGACAATGTTTTTTGCAATCTAATACTTATTTGTAACAAATCGACAACGTAAAAATTTTTTTATATAAAGCAATTTTGTTTACATCAAATATTAAAAACAATCATTCAAGAAGTCGTAGGAAAAATTTGTAGTTGAAAGTTTGCAAGGTTTCAGACTTGTATTTTATATAATTACTGAATCAAATAAAATAGTAGTAAAAACGTTTCAGTCGGTAAAAACCGATCGAATTATGCGCTGCACCTTTGATTGTTGTAAAGCAATTACTCAAACTTGTGAAACCATTCTATAAAAACTTCACGAATATGTCTGACCTGTAATTGGACATACGCTCCTTCATAAATCTGACTCTATTATTTTTCCAAATATGTAATATTAGCTTTTGGACTTCTATGGCAGTTACCCGAACCTGACAAACAGTCCAACCAAAACTTCAAGAATATGTCTGACCAATAATTGAACACACGACTGCCAAGTTTCATGTATCTGATTTCATTATTTTTCCAAATATTTAAAATTAGCTTTTGGGCTTGTATGTGAGCTACTCGAACCTGTCAAGTAATTCCACCAAAACTTCAGAAATATATCTGACCTAAAATTGGACAGACGACTGCCAAGTTTCATGAATCTAACTGTATTATTTTTCCGCATATAGAAAATTTGCTTTTGGAGTTGTATGGCAGCCATCTGAACCGGTACCGCCATCCCATTAAAATTTTCAGAGTATATGTAGAATGTTATTAGACATACATGTACAAAATTTAATATTTATACCTTTATTAGTTTTTGAAATATTTAAAATAAATTATTTGAGTTGTATGGTAGCTACCCGAACCCGTTGTCCGAATTAGTCCAATTACAATAGGATTCGTCCTTGGCACAAAAGTTTTCCAAACTGTCACAACTTGTGAAAATTTGTTGTCGATTGCATTATTCGTTTTTGAGTTATCGTGCGATCGGACGGACGGGCGCACGAATGGCACGTGTCTAAATCAACGCAGAGTTTTACGTTGAGCAAGAATATATATATGTATGTATATGTCCATAACGTAGATGACTCCTTCAAGTAGTTGCAAACTCCATACCAAAGTTAATATACCCTTCACGAAGTGCAGGGTATAAAAATGAAAACAAAATTCTCAATTTAATAGTATCAAGGTCATTAAATTTACCTTGTTTATACAAACCTCGTATTTGTGATATTCTTCATTGACTAATCATTTTCTACGATATGTAATATTAAAAATTCAACCTATATACTTCAATTGTGCGCATTGGAAAACTCTTTGAATACAATTTAGCCTTTTTTCAAAAGCAACCATAAAAGTTATCTATTCCCATAATGTATATTTACTATATGTTTATTTGTTTCTATAAAAATAGAATGTTTTTTTGAACATTTGTTGAACTTTATATGTATATATATACGTTATATATATAAACCAAGAAAGAAATATCAAAAACATACGTCAATATAATTATACATTTTGTACAAAAATCGCAAAAAAAACAATAATTTATTTGTTAATTTAGTTTTTCATTGATTGATCAAAATCATATTTATAACTTATTCATTATTTCAGATTATATTATAGGTATTCAACTAAAATGTCTTAAAAATAATATAATTAAATGAAGCAAATAAAATTACTACTTCGACATGAGTTATAGCGAAAAAATAGGATTTTAACTTTTCAAATTTCATACATTTATTATTAAAACAAAATTTTTAAAATATTTATTTATGTAACAACTTTAATTTTATTTTATGCAATTTTTAATTTTTACTAACTTAATTTTAAGTGTAATTTGTAGTTTTATTAATTTAATATAATGTATGCGTAACATAAAATTGTGTTTTATATGTTTAGCGACACAATTGTTATAAAAGATTTCAAAAATTAAAGATTTTTAGTTTAATATGAAGGGATTTAACAAAAAATTTGACATACCCAGGGAAAAAAATTATTCCACTCTGCCGAATAATTGACGACTCACTTTTTTAACTATATTTTTATATTTGTCATCATTCATATATTCCCACATGTAAAATGCATCTCAAATATACTTAGTCAAATGCATGTCATGTTCCACATGTCAAATGCATCTCAAATTCTGCACTACAAGTCACAAGTAGTTCCCAAATACAACAATTTTGTAACGGAATAGTAGTTGCTAAGCTAAAGGACAATCGAAATTGAGTTCTGTCAAAGCTGAATTATTCTACATAATAGAACGCAGAAATAGTATATTATTAAACTGTAATTGCTTTCAAATAATTGCACAGATATGCTTATATATTTTTTAATATTATTAAGCATTACAATAATTTAATGTTTCCTTAAAGCTATTACATTGCCTAAACACTCTGTAAAGTTCAGATTTTAAAGCAGAAAATTTTAAAATAAGAAAATTAAATACGTAAATATATTTAAGAATTTCAGTTTAATAAATATGCATTACCCACATAATGTACATATGTACATATATGTAAATGTGGAGCAAATATTAACTCATAAACTCTTATAAAATATATAACCGACTCATTTGATAAAAAAATTAAATACAGGTAATTTTCAACAGATTAATGTCGCAAATTATTGTTTAACATATCAAGACAACATGTGAGTTGAATATAAATTATGTTGAAAAAGGATAAAAATTGGTTTATTTTTACGCTTCAGGAAACTTTAAAAAAACAAGCACGCAGTCCCATTTTATATAATTATTTAAAATCTACTTTATTGTTGATGATACTTGAGTTAGCAGAAATACGAGCTAAGTATTTAGTATTTTACATACAATTTAAAATTACGTAAAAATATTCT